AAGCCTGCAACACAAACGCTGAGCTGACCTTCTTTCTGTTGGACTAGTAAGTGATATTAGCTAGTTTGCTATGCCTTGTATTTTTGCTTGATGTTTGGATTTGCTAATTTTTGACCATAAGTAATGTAATCAAAACAAATGCACATGTAGATGTCCTTATTTACGAATTACTCTCTGAAACAGTGGGGGTGCCAAATTGCACAAAAACCTAAATCTTACATAATGTCACTTTAAAGTATACAGAGCCTGGGACAGTATCATTCATCTGTCATTAGACTCCTTTATTTTCTTCGTAAAAATATACATTCATGTATATAACTATAGTCAGTGAACTCTTTTAAGTCCCTTCTTAAAACATACTTTTATAGGAGAGCCTTTCCCGATCTTATTTGACTTTATTTTATCCCTTTTATTTTATTGTATTTTACTAATTTTATATTAATTTTTCATGCTCTTATCTTGTTTTTTTGTATTATTCTTTACACTTGTTAAAGCACTTTGTAACTTGTTTTCGAAAAGTGCTCTACAAATAAGGATTATTATTATTATTATTGTAAAAATGTGCCAAAGCAAAAGACAGATCATAGCTGTCAACGATGAGCGTTTCATAAAGTGAAGTTTTCTCTCTGTGAAGAGTTCATTAGACGCTACAAGTTGGAGGAACTGAGGGGAAATCAGTTAGTCATGAGGTTTTCGGGAGGACTAGAGTGTATCTGCAGAGCTTTGTGTAGGGCTGTGAGTGGTAGTGCATTGCTGCATTACTCCACAGCAGGCGCCCTCCCTGCCTGCATGCTTCTCCCTCCTCTTCTCTGGATTCCTCTTGGCTTTGCTTAATAATGTTGAGTCATAAGGTGGGAGGGAGAGTCACCTCCCTCGCTCCTGGAGCTGCTGCACGCTCGCTTTTTGCTTTGAAGATGAAAGGTGGAGTTGATCGCTGTAAAGTTATATCCTTCCTCTCAAATTTATGGGGTGGAGTTATTTTAGCACCGGATCAGGAGAGTCATGTGGTTTCAAACTTTCTTAAATAAGGCCTCCCTTCATGTTATGTTGATTTTAAACTGTCTAGATTTTTTAAATACCGAGGTCAGGAGTCCAAGCCTCGATTCTCCCAGAAAAATGTGGCTATGTACCAGAAATAAAGTCTGAAAATGTTTTAATTACTTAGCTTTCATTTATTAATGTTCAGTTATTTTGTCTGTAAACATGAGGGATCCTATCTTATGAAAACCACATAAGACATCAGCTTTTCATTAGCTGTGAAATGCCTTTTTTTCATCTTTGTGAGAATACATTTTTCACATAATCCAGTGACTGGTGTCACAAGTGTTTAATTAGCCTAAGAAATTTATTTTTTCTCTGAAAAATTCGAAATCACCAATGTTTATATATCAATGTAGCATATAACCTGCCCCCATGTTCATAAAACCCCCAAATTCCTAAAAAATATATATTCAGAGGACATGACCTCAGTGCCATCACAGAGAAAGATGCAAAAACAAAAGACCAAGACAAAATGCTAAACTGTTCTAATTGAGTACCTACAGCCCTACAGCAGTTCTACCATAATTTAGAAAGTAAGTTGCCATATTTTCTTGAATTTCTCAGTGGAACTGTGAAGTATAAACCTGCAGCACAACCTGAGCGTCTCTCCACATCACATCTCTGTCTGGCCAGGAGGTTGCATACGTAACTGACCTGTATTGAACTCCTTTTATAGAACGATTCTCTTCTGAATTGGTAAATATTGCAATCAGTAGATGAAAAATGTCTGATAAGGTTTTTGACATTACAACACTGATGAGTGAATAATTTCCTTCCCATCATGTTTAAACAAGTGTTGCATGTTAAGCACACTGAAGTCACACTGAAACTACCTGGTTCCTGTGTGCACTCGGTAAACATGGATGATGCACAAAGACTGAGTTGGCTATTTACATACAAAACATTTAAATTAGCCAGATTACATGAGAAAAAAAAACCTTTATAAGGAAAAACTGTAGGCTTGTAGCATTTTCTTTTCTTTCTCTTGATATTGATATATTTGTGTGCAATTAATTTGAACATTTTCACACAAACATTTTTATTTGAAAGCCTATAGAAGTACATACTATATTGCAGTTTCCTATGTTTTACCTGAAGATACATGCCATACTTAGTTGTTTGATGAATAGGGGTGTGGGTCAAATGTTTGGCATGAAATAGAAACAAAACTTACAAACATAAAAAATGCAGAAAATAAAAAAAGCTATGGCCTTCACATTCACTAGACCTTAATTCAACTGAACAGCTATAGGATATTTTGGAGCGACGTGTTAGATAGCGCTCTCCCCCACCATCATCAGAACAACAAATGAGGGAAAATCTTTTTATATCCTTCATCCCTCCAGTTGAGTTCAAAAGACTTGTAGAGTCTATGTGGAGGGGCACTAAAGCTTTTCTGGCAACTCAGAGTGGACAAACATCTTTCAGACCCATCTGTGAAGGGATTGGCCAGTTTATCTTGGCTATTCAGAGATCATTGAGTACTTAGTATTTGTTTGTTTTCTAACTGCTGTGCAATGAGCTGCTCTTAAGATGATTACTGCTGTCAGACAGTGTGTGTGAATTTTTTTAGATGGCTTAACCACAGCCTTACATGCACTTTTCTTTGCGCATAAATGTCCTGCCGTCCATTCTGAGTCACGGTGACTTTAAGAATTTCAGCCTTGCTCCTCACATGTGTGATTTCCTTTTTGTTTGTTTGGGTTTCATTTAACCAACATTCAAATCAGGAGCTTTGACTGTACATTGCCTGTATTTAGCAAAGGAAAACCATTTGAAATTGACTGTATTTGTGTGTCTGTGTGTGTTCATTCTGTGATGGACTGATCATCCATCCATTGAGTTTCCCTGCTTTCTGCCCAATGACTGATGGCATAGACTCCATCCAACATGATTCTAAATTTTAAATGCGTAAAAGTATTATATCTTAATGCCGCTGTCCCTTGCCATGACCCACTGTAACATTTGCAAATCCTCTACAAGTTTATTAAAGAACAATCACACAATTAACACTGTATAAAGGTTAATCTTTGTAGTTCATGATCTGCTGCCCACAATCTCAATCTGAAAACAGAAATATGTAAACTATGTTACAACATGGCCAAACGCTATCTGGAAAAACTGGGGAATAGTATCACAATATCTATAGATTTTTCTCAAACCACTCAGAATAATCACTGCTGTTCATCCATATGTGCGGCCTTATGTATGCCCAAATACGGCTAAATACACTGCTTATGTGTAATGCTGTCACATAAGGTCCTAAGCTCTGTGGGAATTTATTTATGTTCTGCCAAAATTTGACAGTTCCTATAGATTTTTTTGATACTTTTTTTTCTTTTTACAGCCATGGCTTCAGCCTAAAGGGAAGGTGCATTTTGACACACAAAAGATAAATCTTGGAAGGGGAACCCAAACTAGGCACATGTTGAACAACCAGCCTTGACTTCCAAAACACTTATCAAAAGTGACCACATTTCACCGTGTTGTTCTTAAACAGATGTCCTCAGTGTGTGGACACTCAGCATACTGTCCAGGCGCGCACACACACACACACACACACACACACCCAAGCTGTTGTATAACGTGATGTGATAGTGCTGGTGACAGTTATCGGCTGGCTGGTGCACAGGCGGGCTGCTGTGGGTCTGATCTGCCTGACATCGGATAAACACAACGTCAAGGCTCACGTGTACAGTGAGAGGGGGAGCTTATGTGGTTGGAAGGAGAAATGTGCTGCTCTCACATGCTGCACTTTGTCTACATTTCAGGCAGCATCAGTCAATTGTGTCCACTGAAGACTGCACTGGACACAATTGTTCCTCCATGTGTCTCAGAGCTTGTGTTAAAAAAAGAAGAAAATTGTAATGGATGTGGAATGGAATTGTTATGGATGTTCACAAACTCATCAGGTCTTTCAAAAGAAATCTGTTTTTGCGTGACGAGGAGGACGGCTTTCACACAACTGTGGCGTAAATAAATGATGCTTCGACACATTTGCAATCATACCGCAATGTGAGCTTGAGCTTGAATACTCAGCAGCAGCCAAAACAATTGTTCAACTTGTTCTAGTGAGATACTGAAGTTTTAATGTCAGTAAATGACAGCTACAGTCTGAAGTGGCACACGAACACTGGAAAAAAAATGAAAAAAAATAAACTGCCAACAGCTGGCGTGTTATTCCCAGAGCTCGCTGCCTGTAAATTGCAGGATTCTAATGCATCTGTGAAAGACGGCATGGGAACAGCGAACAGATGCTCATCATTAGCAGAGGAATAACATGGAGCCCCATTTCCAAGTTGATGACCAGACAGGACCCAATTGAAACATCTGCCTGAACACCCGACAGGAAAATGCACGAGGCTGTGGCTAGTTAGGGTTAAGTAAAAAGCCTGTGTTTTAATATGACAAGTAAATTTACAGTACTTAAGAGTACCACAACATGAAGTGCCACTGCCATTACAGTCAGCCTTTGTGGAGCAGAAAGGCATTTGAATGTAATGCGAATGTACGAGAACCAACATGTACATTTACTATAATTCGGAGATCTTTTTTGGGCCTATAGACATTCTCAGAATTCAATAGGACTCAGCAACTGATGAAGACAGTGGAATATATTTGTAAGCTTCAGAACAAGCGAGGAAGTGGGCCTTGAGTAGAGATTATCATTTGAAGCTTCAAAGGTCTTAAGATTTCAAATTGAATCAAATATGCTTGTCTTTGTATACAAACTACATTTTGTACTTATCAGACTGGACAAAAGGATAAATTTGTCCTGTACATGCACATGATAAGAATAAGAAATAAATCATGACTTTACCCTTATTATGACTTTGCTGAATACTTTCTTCCCTGGGCGCCAGGCCTTATCTGAAGACAAGCAGCCATTCTGGGCTATAAGAATACGTTTCTCATCTCTGAGCTTCCTAGTTTGAAGAAGTTCAAGTAAATGTAACTCATCACTGTTTAAAATATCTTTAATGGTTCAGTTGGTATAGGATTTGGAAGCATTAAGTCAAGACATGGTCAGCAGCCATACAAAACAAAACCAACTAATCAATGTCGACTGAGAGGAAAATAAAATACAAAGTCAACACAAAAACAAAGAAGAAAAAAAAAGGACAATTAGGCAATGTCAGGTCATCACAGTAAAAAGATACATTGATCCTAGTCAAACTCAACAGCATGCTATAAATCAAAACCGGTAGCAAGTTCAATGATGATCACACACACACACACACACACACACACACACACACACACAGCTGTAGAACAACCCTGATAGGTAAAATGTACAGTAAGACGCCTTAGAGAGGGGGAAAAAACAATGCATAGACAAATAAAGAGGTTTTAAAATAAAAGTAAACATAAAAAGACAAATTTCTTTGTCATAGGCAGACAGCGTGACAGATCTGTTGGCTGATTACATTGCGATGATTGCTGAAGACATTCAAATAGACGTTATTGCCAACAACATATAATGGATAACACTTTACCCATACAAAAATGATTTTTTTTTTTCTGAAACCTTTTTTTTTAAAGAGCTAGTAGCTTCCACAAACGTCAAGAATGTACAAACAATGGTCATTGTGGCAAGGCTTCAAAGATCCTCGGCTCCACTTGAATGAACATTATAAACCACAAGGCAGACATGCTTGGCTTTAAAACATTACGTTACAATTATTTTAAGTTATACAAGATAACAAACTGTACTTAAATCACATTAAATATTGAGCATGTCACTAGAAAAACATGTTGGTTGTTAACAAATATTCAATTGAGCTATTCCAGTTGAGTCAATTAACAAACAGAAGACTTTCTTTTTAAAATCATTGAAGGAATAAAAACATGGTTACAAAGTTATATATTGATCCAAACATAGAATCCCCTGTGCTAAATATCAAAATGTATTTTTTGCAAATATCCCATTGATAATAGTGCAAGAGATACAGTAAAGTCAGAAATAGCACACAGCTCTTATGTTTGGCTTCACGTGTTGAGTTACAGGTTGTTAAAAATTAGAGTTTGTGTGATTTTAGTGTGAATAAAGAGCCACTGCTGATGGCATTAAAGAGTGACTCAAGGTAGCCTTTCACTATCTACTGGTTCTCCATCTTTAATGACGTGTTGGAGGAACAGGGAGTCAATTCAGTAAACAATAAATAACAACTACAGCCCGTCTCTTATCAATTTTCTTAATCATGTTAATTTTATCTCACAGATAAAAAAACAACAAAAAATACAATTGGCACAATCAAGTCATTATTGTGTTTTTCCAACTATCTGTACAATAAAAAAAAAAAGGTTTTACATGTCACAATAACCCAAAGCCAGTATTTGTTTGGGGAAAAAGTGTACACCTGTGTTTCATGTGATTATGTCTGCTAGTGTCTTTAATTCTTACGCTTTCCTCACAAGAAGAGCGTTGTTGCACTCTCAACAGCCTATGGGTTCAAAATAAAGCAGCAGAAGAACAAGCGGGGCCTCATTCATAAAATGGTGCGTGGAGTTCAACGCGAGAAGGAAACTGTGTTCACTCAGAGATACCCTCACCTAAAGGAGTTTTCCATTCCTCAGTCAAATGGATCACCGCTCTGTTAACTCCCATAATTAAACATGAGGGATTAAAGACAGGCCTGTGGTGAGGGTTAGTACACACATCAATCAGGGTGTCGTTCTAGTATTTGTACATGATAGCAAAGGGTCAGACTGATCTGCACCTGTTTTGTTTTTGTTCATATTTCTGGTTTTATGAGAGACTATCAGCAACTCACAGCAGCTGTGAACATTTTGTTAAAGAAAAAGAGCCAAAAGTTTGAGCTGACTTCAATGCATTTAAATGCGTCTGGGTTCTACAACTGACTTCCTGCCGCAAGAAGGTGATATATAAACAGGCCAGAATTTGATATAAAGTGAAATTAATTGCCTGAAAAGATTTAATAATCCATTAGATTTTATTTTACTACTTGGCCTTCAGCATGCAGGTTCCAGTAAATGTGTTGACGCTCTCCAGAAACTTCATATCTGCATGGGGATAATGAATGAGGCCCCTTATGCTACAGAATATGAAAGCCTTTACACAAGCCTTTACCTTAACACAACAGCTAAATCAAAAACAATTTCAGCCCCATTAGGGTAAGCAGAAATAATTAAAATCTGTCCCCTAACACAATCAATCATCACACTTGCTGCTTGACCAAAACTATATTTCTCTTTGCTTCGATCAGCTGCTGACTGGCTAATTCCTCCAGTGACTGCAGTCGATGTAACACGTAACACTGCCTAAAGTCTCAACACAGACGAAATAATACAAAACAAAACCGAACCACTCACCAAAAACCCCCAAAAGAAACTACATTTGATATTCATCCACATACAATCTGTGAGTGTTTTCACTGACTGCCTTGTTGCCAAGACTTCAACCCACAGTGAAGCACCTGAGTGCATCTCAGGTAATGGCGTGCCAGCTTGTACGAGGAGGTGTCGGGGATGGAAAAGGCTGGTGGGAGAGCGAGGCAGCCACCTCCTGGCGTCTCTTCCCCTCCTCTTCTGTCCCTTCCAGGTTCCCCTCCCCTCCTGAGCTCAGTGTTGTGTTTGTGGAGTTTGGGTTGTTGTGGATCACGTGCGGGGCGAGACGGGTGGGGGGGCAGGGTGCAGTGGGGCGGAATTCGGGGTGGGGTGGGGGGGGCCCAGGGTCACTGTCGCCGATCCTCCGTCTCTGACCGTGAGAACGCCATCACCACGTCCTCTGCACCTGAGAACCAACAGCAGAGGGTCAGGTGTGTTTTAGTTCATTTGTGTGATATTTATCAAACACACTCTTCTGCAGCAGTAAATAAAACATGATTGAAAACCAAGGACATTCTACTTTGCGGCAACTGCTGTAGATTTTGGGAATAAGAGCTTTTAAGGAGAATTAAGTGTTACACAAGATAAAATCTGATATAACCAAAAATCTAGAAAATACGTGTGAGCTCCTATCAATAGACTGAAGACAAGGATAAATCGAGACTTTTATTCCGGTTGATTCACCAATTCTGTCTGGTGAGTTCATTAGTCCAGCAGAGAAACATTTATATTTGCTTTTATGACTAACTGTTAATGTCTCTTCTCTTTGCTTCACACTGATAATAGGCGTCACCTGTAATGGGCAATTTAACATTACCAATTGAACCATACACTGACAGAAACACACAAAAGAGATCATCTGCATTCAGATATATATATTATGCTTTTCTGCTGACATTTGTGTTCTATGGGAAAGTGCGACAACTGCTACACATGCTGCTACTACACAAAAAAATCAATCATGTGCAGTTTGAGAAGATGACCTTGGCTATGGACTGGCAAGTTGACCAGGTTGTGAGGCCGTTCATTGTGGGAGGCATTTGCAGTCATTTCCCAGACCTGTCTTTTTGTTGTTCTAATCACTGGATCCCGGTAAGCCATCTTTTGAACTATCCACTTGTAATCGGATCACCCAAAACGAATTTTAGCACAAAGTGTGAAGCAAGCTGAGCCGTGTACAGGTCCTCGGATCCTGTCAGCATCTCTTAAATCCTGTCAGCTGTGACTACAAAGCCGAAAGGGAATACACCAGCACGAAAATCCCTTTGGTGCATGCAGGTAAATTTCACCTATTGCAACAAACACATCTTGTGGAAAGCGACCGTCTGCCATCGCAGCTCCCCAACGGGAGATACTGTAAAACAGAGAGTGGCCAGCTGAGAGCAGCATCCTGCTCTGCCATGATAATGCTTAGATCTGTGGCTTCGATACCGCTGCTGCATTTCAGGCCTGTGAGTAAACAATACCAGTTTCCAGCTGATGATATCAACCTCACTAAGCCGTGGAAAAAGAACAATTGGGCCAAAGAAAACGGACTGAAATTATCTATAGTATGATTTCTTTCTTCTCCTTTTGAGCCTCTTTCACTTTTACCAAGTTAATCAGGACCATCCCATAATTACAATCTCATCTGGGTTGAGCCAACTAATGGTTCCTGCAAGCAGCACCATAAGACTTAGTCAGCTAGCTTTTGTTTAACAAGCAATCATTCATTAGTCTCTTGCCAACTGTGATTCATCAAGTCGTTTGGGCCTGCCCACACCTGCTGAGACAGTTTATTCTCTGATAAGTGAACACATTTTTTCTAATTCTATTTGAGTAAGATTCAATAAAATACACAATGCTCTTTCAGCGCTTCATACATCCAACTTTTCTTCCATAAAGACCCCAATTTTTATTTTATTTGAGCAACTCCGTCCGGAGGGAGGGAGGAAGGGAGGGGGGGGGGGGGGGGGGGGGGGGAGGGAGAGAGAGAGAGAGAGAGAGAGAGCTAAAAACGCTTCTGCCAGATGAAGTAGGAAAGTATTAAAATCCCACTTGCACTGTCATGCTTGGCAGCCTGATGAAATGCATTTGCTTCTCGGTAATGGAAGCAAATTGATTGTGAAATATATGAGACCCTAAAGTAAGTACAGGAACCTTTCCAGTCTCCTCAAACCCTTAATTTAAAAACACATCTCTTAAAGAAGAGAGGAGCAAATGACTTACTAGGTGCCGTAGCCTACAGTTAGCCTGATCGTGTATTGAAATAAAAACATTTGACAAGCTACGATCTCATAAATACCATTAACACCAAGTTCCACAGCTTTGCAGACGGTGGAGAAAGAACTCCTAACAGCACCCGTGTGCATGTCTGCTATAAAAAATAATAATAATAAACTATTTTCAACACAGCCCTGTGTGCTTGTTAGATTTAATTATTGTGGAGATATGAAAGTAGGCCAGGGACTGAGAGCTTCCACATGTATTCGGCACAAAGGGCGGACCCTCCTCATCAGACAGCACAGACCCTCCAAACGCAGAAGTTTGTGTTTCATTCAGCTATCTCTGCGGGGAAGATAATTAGCATGTTTCTATTGAGGTCGTTGTGAGCTTGGTATGATCGAGACTTTTGGGGGGGAGGGCGCCTTTTAATATGAACTTTCAAGTTCCTCTTCCCATGGGAGCTCACTGGCCTACCAAATGAGGCTATGGCAAAGAAGAAGCCAATAGGCAAAAGCAGCACCAGGAGAGGAAACTACAGACAGAATGATAAAAAAAAAAAAAAAACCTGGCAGAGACATGCTGTTCGACTTCAGATAATAACATAAATCTCATCTGCTTTGAGACTGCACGTAGGGATAATGATCCTCGAACATGAGACAATTATGTAATACCACACAATAGGGAACACGACCTGAACTACACTCCCGCTGAATAGCACTGCTGGTTAAGATGATGTTTTGGCAAAGGAACGTGCTCGTCTGATTCATTTTGTGGTTGTGCTAAGGAGTTCATCCTTATCCTACCCGTTCTCCTTGTGTAACGGGCAGTTCAGGGGAAGGACGTGTCAGACGCTGTGCAACTTGAACCCAACAGCCAGCAGCAATACTCTCAAAATACATCCACAGAGCCAAGTGGATGGTCGGGCTATATCTGTTTAACTTTAGCACTTTGCCTGAGAGTTATGTTCAGACCTCGCCCTGCCACAAACACACATACAATACAACACACACACTGAAACAAGCTCCAGCCAAAACGATGGTCCCTCAAAGCTGTTGCCTAGCGACAGATAAAAATCCGACTGCTTGAGAAGATGGCAGGCGGCGGCTGCTGCTGCTCATGAGCAAAAAGCTTTTAGTTTGTTTGGATGCAGCTCTGTGTCCACTTTCTGGCCCCTCCCTCCAACGTGCACTGATCCCCTCCTCAACCCCGCCTGATGGGGGTAAACAGAGCAGCTCCGGACGGTGGATTACACAAATAACCGCAACAACAAGCATGTCATCCGATTTGTCCGCCATAGAGAAAAGTCTCCTCATGCATTACAGAAATTCTTTCCATGAAAAGAAAAAAATATGGAGGTAACATGTTTTTGTTTTTAAATAAATAATGCAGTGGTTATGAAAAGAAATGAAGCCATGTCTCAAATTCCAATATGCATCATCACAATGCTCTGCACTTTAATCAGCGCTAAAAACATTCCACTGGTTGATCTGCCGTAAATTTGGGTAAATGGTCAACTGTTTAAGTTTTGTAACTATTTAAATATGTGGTTGAGAAAAGCTAGTTTGAAACTACCACCAAAAACAAAACAAAAACAGGAAGTTCTGCTGAAACCTCTAAGGGTAAGGAAGCTGATAAAAGTTAAAGGCATCATCATGCTGCGGCCTTCGAGTCCCACCGGTATGAATAAGCAGCAGTATGACGACTCCAGTGTCGCAGTGATGGAGCGCAGAGTTATTAGTCAGAGCAGCAACAGCATTAGAGGTCACAATCTGTGCAAGGTCAGCAGAGAGGATAAAGACATGCCCCCACCCACAAGTTAATAAGCACGACACAGACCAGAGGACTGCGTGTGTTCTAGCTTAACATGTTCACATCAACAAACACAGTGGGTCTACAGTGCATTTAAGGATTAATCAATCTATTTATCACACACACAGACCTACGTACTACTAGCAATTTATTCCACTATATAGTCCCATCATTTATCTCTTTTTTTAAACTTAGTTTTGAAAGCTAACATTTACCCCCATTACCCTTTCTCCCTTAAACATGAGTATTACAGGGACACGTGAGTTCAGACCTCTGCACCTTTGATTGTTTTTCTGACTATATGTAGATTTGCTATTTTGGCCAGTTCACTGTTTGAAAAGAGATTATGTATTTCTGTGGTTTTCCATCACATTCATGGTTTAGTAAAGATTAAAAATAAATCTAGGAAGTGATGTCCATTTGACTGTTCTAATGAGCTTCGGCCAAATGTTTATCATAATATTATAAAATTATACAAGTGCAGGGTTTTCCACCATTTTTTGTGTGAAATCTAGTACATAATACAAAATGTACAATGTCAGATTTTTTTAACACTTTTCAGTTCACATGGTGATATTTCAGAAATTTAACGAGCTTTGAAATTAGGTTTCAGAGTCATTTTTCTTTTCTAAATAGATCCTTTATAGACAGATTTAATGAATTTGGCATTTTATAGGCCAAGTCCAGAAAGTAAATTTGCTTATACGGCAGCAGATTTTTATGGAGCAGAGCAGATCCAGGGCTCAAAATCAGTTTGGTTAAACTTTTTGTTTCGGTTTCCAATAGAGCAGAGATCAGTGGTTGATTCGTCATAAAACTAACCTTTAACCTATTTCAACACATACTGACGCATTTGGGATAGAGATGACATCGTATTTAAGGAGAAATCTAGCCTCTGTGTTTCAGTGAGTTGAGTTAGGTCGACATTGTACTTCATAAATCTTTAGTCTCTGGCTCAGATTCATGCCGCAGTGAGGAACAGGATAAAGTAACAATCGATACCACTCTGCCCCGGCCGAGCCACCAAACAAAGGCGGGTCCCTGCTCTGTGTCACATGGCTTTCACTCTAAAAGGCAGGTTTAAAGGTTGAGAACGGAACTGTAATACAGACAAAAAGAACAAGGTGGTATATTGATTGCGCAGGGCTGCAGCAATATTTGAAACAAGAGAGGCCATATTTCTGTAAGAAGTGATGGGACTGACAGAGAGATTGGAATATCACACTCTGGCTGTGTAATTAGCACTGCAGCTCGCCTCCAGGCCCCCTAATGACACCTGCTTCAATCTACCAATGCAGCATGTCACAGCAACACCAAAGCCCACAGGGAAGCTTAGCTTTCCTGGGACAACTGAGGTTGCTATGGCAACCGCATCCTCGTCTATCCTCTTTTGTCCTTCTGGGAGGAGTAAACTTTCCTCGTCAAGTCAGACAGGATAACGAGTCCTGAGATTGCTGGCTTTATGTGTGACAAAGTGAATTGTTTAAAGTGACATGTCGTCAGTTACAGAAAGCCGTGAATAAGAGAGTTAAAGGGGGAAGAAGGCTGACTGTAAAGACAAAACTTCTTTATTTCCCATATTATGCTGTAAGTACTGTATGGCAGAAAACACGCTGTGCCACAGAGAGACTCATTCAGTATTACCCAAAGAGCAGCATTTTACACTGAAACAGAGCCCCCCAAAACACAAGCTTCACTTAATGAGTTCACGCTTCAGTTCAAATCATAATTTCAACAGCGTTAAAACATAACATGCAAAGTCCAACTCGCCCACTATCCTCCGTTCCTCTGCGGCACCAAAATTCTGCTACATCAAGGTATTCACAACGAGAAAAGCTGAATGAAATAAAATATTCTCATCTCCAGAGCCTTTGGCAGAGAATTCCTCTTAGGCCCGATTAAAATTGCAAAACTAAATTCTGTGTTTGCATGTATGGTAATCAGCCAATTAAAACTATTTGAAATGCAAATTCAGTGACCCCTAGTCTTAAAAGAAATATAAGTGGCAACCCCCAAGTTGTTTTTTTCTTGTTTCTTACAAGGAGGAACCAACAATAGACAGCTGAACGAAGTCTGAAGGAGTGATTCAGGTTTCACATTTCTACTCGTTCTGATCAGATGTGATAAAGGATGACAACATTTTCTAGATAGATTAAACAGCAACACCCACGAATGTGTATCAGAATAAGCAAGGCTGACAACAGCAATGATGTTATCCATTTGACACATTAGCTTTTGTGCGCTCTCGCACCTACACTATTATTTAACACTGTGTGAACATAGCCTGGTCTTAACTTAAAATCTGAGTGTGCCTCCACTACGCCACTGTGTCCTCAGCGCCCTCTAAGCATCCCGCCGCTCGATCGATGAAACCACGTCAGACAGGTGACACTATTGCTCCATGCTGAGAATCCTTGAGGACGTATCCTGCATCAGCATGTTAAACCTGTCCTCTGTTTGCGGTGGCTGGACAGAGCTGAAAAATCTCTTTGGAAGCCATCTGACGTCTAATGGTGGCTTCAGTGGCTTAATGCTTTTCTAATTTAACAATATTCAAACAATGCAAATTGTATAAGGGGTGACAGAAGATTCTATAAACCAATGACGAATGCATCAAAGATACAAATCAGTGCACTTTTTATTACAGCTGTTTGTCTGTACAGGAGAGGAGCCTTTAAAAATGCTGCAAAAAAACCAAACAGCTTTATCAAATGGTACCAAAAAGCAAGGTGGATTTAAGTCCTACAGCTCAACTAAAACATTTTCAATAAAAACACTCTAAGAGTGGATGATGTTTTTCTTTAAATCATCCTTCTCTCAATTGGAAAATGTTGCTCAAGCTTACCTGTACAAAAACACAACATCATTACCTGAAGCTACAACCTCAGTGTCTGCTGCAGAGACCAACTAGACCGGTGAGAGGTATGAAGATGGAACATTAATGATACAAAATCAGATAAACAACCTCTGCCTGGAGGTATCTATCTGGCTGCTATACTGTGTGATGGTCGACTGGGACAGACAGTACTACTGCTGCATATAGTAAAATGAGGGAAAAAGGTCTACTGTCATTATAATGAAGTGAGAACAGAGTGAACCACAGGGAGCCTGATTTACCTTCACACCCATATCCAGGACAATTAACACACAGAAATTCAATCAACAAAGAATTCACACATTTACACTACCAACATTTTATTTATTTGTTCAAAGAGGAATCAAAGAAAATCGTACTTTGTCATAATTGACACTTGTAATTTGCTGTTTGAAGTCTTCTGTAAAATTATATTTTAATAGGCACAAAGACTGTGCAAGTTGCTAGGCAATAACATTTTTCTTTTCATCCACTGTTTTCCCCTCTTACCAAGTCCAAATGAGATCAAATAGTGGCCTCCCTTCTTCATGTAACCGAACCTCTTCACCATCTCAAAAGGATCCCGAATGTGCTGATGCCTACAAACCAATGTTCTTCACTGCAGCGTTTAAAAGTGATTAACTCTCAGCTATCTCCGCGATGCCTAATCACAATACTGTGACACGCAGACCGCAAATAATTTATTTGCACACCGAGGAGGTGGCAGGCTGCCAAATGACACTAAATGTGTCTGTTTTTGTGATGTATAATGCATACTTGGAGCACCTTTCACTAGCCGTGTTCGTACATAATTAATGATGCTCTTCTTAGCAGTATTGACAAAGCACAGACATGGAGTCCGGTATCTTACTAAAAGGGCATGAAGAAAGAGAACAAGGGCATGCAGCACAAACGAACAGCTAGTCTGTTGTTGTTTGAACAGACAGAAAACAACCTTTATCGATGAATGACTTATGCACCACTTTTGATGCTGCACTTTTAAAGATGTGATATCCTTACTATCTGATGCAATGCTCTGCTTCTGCTTGAAGAAAGAAACACTGTAACAATGCAACCTACACTGCACACACGCATGCCTTCTTGCAGAGTAAGGCAGAATTTATGACAATGCAGTTAAACACCCTGCAGGTTAACACAAATATAATAAGAAGCAATAGAGAAGGGCAAAAGGCAAAGTCATTGCATCTTTTACTTGCCTTCTTAATACCATGTATAAATCATAATCCTTCCCCAACACAGAAAATCACATATTTATCAATTCAACCAACACTGATTGCTTCCTTGCAGATAAAGGACACAGACAAGGAGACACAACACTGCACTGTAGGCAATGCGTTCCCGATTTAAAGCTCCCCCGAGGGACCAATATCGTAAGGGACAAAGCAAGGCCCGGGCTTTGGCAGGTTTACCACAGGAGGACAGCAGGGTTCCTATCTGACAGGCGTGTTTGGACTGAGCCTGGAAAGCAGCTGATAAGTCTACTTACAGCAAATAATAATAATCTGGAACAATGTGTTGCTGCTGTCTCAGGTAACTGCAGTGCCTCCTAATATACACTATTCTGTTTGATCTAACACCCTCTTGTGGTGTGAAAATGTGAAAACTGTGGAGGAGATAAAGAAAGCTCAACAGTGCCCTCTGGTGCACGGAAAAAAGCATGACCATCATATGGAAGAATAGACTGGGGTATTGCTAAGCAAACTGAGTCTTATAACAACACATATAAAAATATAAACCCATCAATATTCAAACTCTGTACTCCATTCCATATTTATATATTTCTACATTTATTTATGTTGACAGTATGTTTGTCTATGTGTAGCACCTTATCACCACAGCAAATTCCTCGTATGTGTAAAACAATACTTGGCTTCTTCTGATTCTACCTAGGCCACTTGAAACTAGCGATGCACACATGATGAGTCACCTGGTTCCAGTCAGCCACACTGTTTGCTGTATGAGTAATCTCACAGCGCTGGTAGGCCGCTGAGTCAACCTCAGTGCACAGTTAGGGAATCCGTAAGGCCGTCTGGGGTAAAGCCTCAAGAGGAGCGATGTGTGGAGGGATTTTCCCTTGTTTTCAGTCCAGGCAAAGTAGCACTTCTGTCACATGTGAAGGTGGTGTGTGTGTGTGAACTAATGTAAAAGTGTTAACACACCAACATAAACGCCTTCTAACTTTCAAAAATCTAAATATTGAAACTAGAACTAAAACTATCTAAACTTCAACTATTGGCCTGGATGAAAGAAGAACAAAATTTGCATAGAAGCAAATGGAAAGTTCCAACTATAATAACACACTTTAAGTGTGTGTGTGTGTGTGCGTGCGCGTGTGTGACAGCCTTACCCTGGTCTATGTTGTGCTGTGGTAGCTGGCTCATCTGAGTGTGGACCACACCTGCATAATTCCGGAGAAAAGCCTCTTCACTCGGTGTAAGCTGAAGAGGAGTAAACAAAGAGATGTTCCAAATTATAATAAAAGCACAAACAAAACGTTATCTTAAAAGGAGGAGACCGAGTATGCTTTTACCAAGCTCATTAGCAAAATCAAATTTCAATCAGAAAAAAGGTTATTTTTTAGGCAGTAAGTAATTCTGCTGCAGTGTTAGTAATCACAAAGCACACTCTCTCACTCACTGAAAGTAAAACTCCTTCTAATGTAGTGCCTTAGTCCATAAGTATTTGTATATCTTATGAAGTTGTCGTGTTTTGAACAAGGCGACTTGCGTGACGGTTTATTGTGTTGAGATAAATTCACAAAATGTGTCCTTGCTGGTTGTACCGACACATTCAGAATCATTACAGCTTTTGCCGTTGTAAAATGTATATTTTAAAAAGGCTCTGTTTTGGTTTTCTCTGTAATGCAGCACAGTGTTAACAATGAACAGAGTTACTAACACGTTCTCCGTTTCAAACTTCCATACATCCAGACTTTAACTTCCCTGTATTTTTTTCAGACCATATTTGAGATCTGAGTACAAACCAGCTAGATGTTTGTTATGTAAATAACTTTTTTTTCCGAATGCAACTGTTTACATGTATGTTACATTTTGATTAGGTATACTATTATGTTGCACAATAATTGCCAGAAGATTGTAGCTAGGTACTGTAGCTCATACTATAGCTGTTCAGTCCACACTCCTACGCAGAAAGTTGGACGGTAAACTAACCAGTGCTACCTATATTAATATTTATTTTATTATTTTTAACAAATAATACTATAATATTTTACTTTCAATGCCCGCTCTGGCTCGTGCTCTCTTACACTGTGGCAAACATTTTGCCTGCTCCAAACACCACGAAAAATACATATTTGTTTTTCCATACATATCCAGACCTGGCAAATCAAAATCCATACTTTTCCATACTACGTAGGAACTCCGCATATAACATTCTTTCTCAGCTGTGGAACCACCATTTTCTCATGACCCCAAAATAAATATTTAAATAATTCAATTGTCATAAATGTGTGATGATTAGGGGTTGGAAAAGAACTGATTTCTAGCTGCACTGAAATATGGACAATTCAGAATCGATTAAAAAAATGAAGTTGAAGTCCTCTGAATCATAATCGAGTTATGGGGTGGTGATGGCGCAATGGATAAGACACATGCCATGTGACACATCCACCAATGTGTCCCTATATACAGCAACTGTAAGTCGCTTTGGATAAAAGCGTCAGCTTGAATGTTAAATGTTAGGTGTCTAGATGCAACGACTACTTGACTAATGGTTTGAACTAAAGACTACTAGTTGACTAGGATCAGAGGTAATTAAGGGACTTTTGCCTATAGTTTATCATATAACACGTGCAACAGAATCCAAAGTACTTCAGGGTTCACATTTTAGCCAGCAACTGTAGGGTTTGCTGCCCAAAATGACAACAATCACAAAGTGACTTAATCAGTTGCAGTTATACAACATTATTTCTGAGAGTTGCACTAATCACAAATTGAAACTCTTATCTCGTTTGCATGCTGGAACCATATTGTGGACTGAGCTGCTGTTCAGAAGACCAACAGAATGATCAGTGTAAGGGAGATGTCTCTCTGACTCTTTGGTTTCTCCTATTCTCCTCCACACGGGTTTAAAAATAAAGAACCTGAATATACGAGCATTTTTCACCTTTGAATCTCCTTGTTATCTTAAAATAAGGTTTTAAGGAGGACAGGTTTGCATAATATACTTGCTTCTGTAAATCATTTAGAATACAGACTCTGATGGACAGAGTTGCCTGCACAGCTTCAAAAATAATTGGATGTGTGTACTCCACACCGTTTCTGAATTCTACCACATCCGCATTGAGCAGAAAGGTTTGAAAAATTTAAAAGCACTCCTCACACCCTGCAAACCTTCTATCCGGTCTTCTCCCTTTGGGTAAAAGACTACGCAGAATTAAGACTAGAACATCTCGCTTCCACAATATAACTTATCCTGAAGCAATCCACACCCCAAATACTTTTTATTGTTTTATTGTATTGTATTGTGTGTACTATGAAAGAAACATATTCAAATCAACTGCGATTGATGTGGCAAATCAGTTATTGAATCTTGCTCAATTCCTAACCGGAGGCAGGCATAAAAAATAAATAAATAAATAAATCAGGTGGATATATTTGAGTGACGTTCAAATTGACAATAAGTGTGTATCCCCTCCAGAAATTACAAAATGTTGGTTTCCAAACTGCCCCAGTGACCACAAGTGGAATTCGATTGATTTAGAACAGACATGTGCTACACTCCTCTACACAATAGCATAAATAACTCAGATGGAGGTCTTTATTTATTGTGAATCTATTTTGAATTGTGCCATACTTTACTTAGCTTCTCCTTCTGGAAGAATCCATCAGGCATATGATTGGCAAAGAGCAAAAAAGAAGGAAAATATACTGAGACCCCCCCACATCTCGATAATACTGGCTATTATAACATGGATGGTAAAGCAGGACCCATGACAATAACTTATTTGGTGGATGTGTTGCAGTGGGAATCATAGACAAGTGTCTAATCCACTGCGCCATCGCAACCTCTCTATAATAATTACTTTGTATTCATTTTTACTGAACTTCAACAGCTAAATGTGCAACATGCAACATGTGATAATTGAGTCTATAACTAAATAATATAACTCCCTGTTCTCCAGTCTTCCTTTAGCTATTTGGCTAACAGCTGACTTGAACAACATTTGTTTTCCGGTGCCACTGACCTGCAGCGCGGTCGTGCATTTACGTCAGTGGATGGTGGGTTCAGTAGCGCAGCGTTACTTGGATTATTAAATGTAATAATATACTGTAACTGTTCTGGAAATAGTAATCCGTTACATTTCTCTTTACTAGGAAATGTAACATTGCAGTATTACTGCCCAACACCTTACGTACCACTGATGCACGAGAGCGACTGTGGTACACACTACGCAGACGCACACGTCAGCCTATAGATGTCCCCAATTCCTTTCCATTTCACTCGGCCAGCTCCTATACCCTTCCTGCAACCCCCCCTCCCCCCTCCCCTCCCTTTTTAATACAGATCTGCATGATTCACGTGGGTCAGATTTTCAGGTCGGAAAATCCAGAAAAATCACATCCTCAAATCCTATCCTAAAACATGAATATCCAAATTTAAAAATGTCACATCACCATAGTTTGTTTTAGTCAAGACACTGTACTTACATTTGATCCCATTTTCTTTAGCATGAGCAGGACCCGCACTTTCTGTTGGATGTACATGTCTTCCGGAGACTTCCCCGGGGCCTCCTCGCGGTTCATCCCCCCTGCTCCTGTGGCTCTGGACACAAACAAATCCATGTTACACAAGACCTGCGAAAATGCACAGCTACGCAAACACTCACTGTGTTATTTGGAGTTAAAAATACTTATACGCTGGGCTGTTTCAGCCACACAATCCGACTGGCCAAAAGTTGATAGTGACAGTTAAGACTGTTTCAACCAGTTTGATTTGTATTCTTCTGTATGGCTATGGTATTACACATGAGTTCTGTGCTAAATGCAACACAGACAAAAGCTTTTTAACAGAACACTGACAACCACTTTATAAGTCGCATTATCCTTGGCAGCGGTCTTCAGCAGATATGAGGTTCAGGCTTATATCATTAGCAGCACTGAGTGAACACTCCCTGGAGTATTGCTATTATAACAACACTGACTGCATTTAATTATCAAATGTTTTCTCAGACGTACAGCACTACGCTTGACTTAGATGTTTTACTATTGGGGTAAATAATACAGACTCTAGTCTGCATGATAAGCCCTTCATTCAAATAATCCAAACAGTGATGATATTAGAAGTCAGCGGCCTCGTCTCAGTGTAGTCACAGTGTAGGTTTGACATTTCACAGCGTGAATGACTGTCATTAATATTGCAGGGCAGTTTTCACACAGATCTCGCCCCTGCCTGCTCCTTTCCATCTCTTATTCTCCATCTAACTAATGACCTATTTTCACTGTCAGTCTGCAGAGATGCAAAATATAGGCAAAGGGGGAGGAAAAGGAGTTAGGGGAGTGAAGGCAATAAAACGAGCTGCTAATGCAGATGACAGAAAAGGCATAGGCTCCGTTGTAATAGCACACACTGTGTCGCATTAGATCCCCGTAGTAATTCGCCAACAAGACGAGGCATAGAGCGCGCCGTTGTATCCAGCCTAATTGAAATAGCAACAAATACATCTTTAAAAGGATAAATCTGGCAAGAAAAAAAAAAAGCTTTAATGGAGAATATCAGTATGCAAGTCAGGATTTGTTCTCCCCCAAGAATCTTTCATAAAAAGCCTACGGGAGTCACAGTGACTATGATAGTTCTGGCAATTTATTTTGGCCTCTTATCTATACAAAGGAGCACTAATGCATGTTGACAGGCTGTTTGATGTGGGGTTATATTTAATTGAGGAGCTGGCTCGTCGTCCCCCCTTCCCAGAGCAGGGGGGTGGGGGGCGGGACCGTTGGCCATTGCTACTGTGAGCGTGTGGATTCATCCAGATCAGAGCAGCTGGAGAACATGCTTTTGGCTACAGTCCTTATAATTATGACTTTGTGCACTTGCCTGTTTTCAGCCACACAAAGTGGTAGCAGGACACCGAATGAGGGACAGACGAGTATTAGTGAGGGTGATATATATACTTCTGCATTGAGTCAAGGGGTTTTTATGTTCCCTTGTGATGCCCCCTTGCCGGTTTGCCTTTTCCGGTTCTTTGTGGTCTGTGGCGCCAAGACGTGTAGTTATATTTTTTTACACGTAGGCTACAGCGTAGATTCAATGCATAGTATAAATAAAGTCAGCGTCACGCATAGTTTAATAGGAGAGCCACTGAAGACTTAAAGCAAGACAGAAATAAAAGGATGGAGAGATCTTGCCGGTGTCAGTTGCTCAATGGTGGAAGAACTAAAGCTCCAGGCAGAGAGGCCAACCAGAGAGACGACATTCAGAATGAAGAATGATTTAAAGTTAAAACTCAGGAGGGCCAATCTGCCTGCCTTAGAAGCTCGCTGGGTATAAAACGCTCACTGCGTATGAGTGGAGAGAGAGTAGAGGATGAAGAGAATGACTGAAGAACTGGATTACTTTAATTGCCAAAAGGTGTCATCTTGTCTTGAGATTTTAAAAGACAAGGATGATACATCAAGCATCCATTAATATTCAGTCATATTTTGAGACTTGACAACTTCACCATTTTCATGTCTGCAACTGCACAAAAAAAGGCTGATATATTCTACATTCATCATCTGTATAAATAGACCTAGTGCTTTCATGGCTGAGGCATTTCTGATCCTCTGATGTTTGCTTTTGAAGTTTGAAACTGGCCATATTTAGTACCATCATTGCCCAGGCTGTTGACTGTTTTGAGGGCTGCAATTTGTATTTTTACCAGCATGAATTTTTTTTAAATCTTATCCCACTTTCAGAGCGATATCTGCTAAAAGACGAACGAATGTAGTTGATGGAATCCTGTTGGGAAAATCTCTGCAGGAAGTAGAAAGAATGTGGAATTGTGTGATGTTCTACTATTGTCGTGACATGTTTGTTAGTCACTTTAAATAAAAGAGGGAAGGAGTCAGATGATCTCATTCTTTTGTGGATTTAACCTATTTTTCTTCAGGCTGGAGGGTGGCAGAAAGACTAGTTTGTAGATGACTATTCTTGGCGTAGCTACAGAACTGGAATCATTGCAACTCTGGTACTCAGTGAACCGGATAACAACGTGCATACAACAGTGATACACATTTTGCATATGATTATGTAACTTGTAATTTCATCCATCCAATCCTGCTGAACAAACTAGCTTTCAAACCATGTTTATAATTCTAACAATGCTCCAGATGGTACTCGGGTGCCTGGCGTATAATGTCTCACTGCCACAGACTTAACCTCTGAATAATGTCTTCAATGTATCACTGCTGGATTACATTTCAAACACCCGGGGTCAAGGTAAAGTCCATTTGAAAATGATGCCAAAAATCACATATTTCATCATAGTCAGGTGTATTATCAGTGCCCTTCATACATTTTTAACAATATAAATGCTACAACTAACTATTTGAATTTTTTAATGATTTGCTTCATTGTTTTAGTGAAAGATTCACTTAAAAAAGTGAATTTCTTTAAGGTGAGGCACAAATTGCTAAATTTGTAATTTGTAAGAAATAGTCCTATGAACAATGTCCCTTGCAGGTTGTCAAAGCGCAAGGTGTCATCTCCAAGTTGCTTACTATGTCCAACTAATGGTCTAAAGCCCAAAATATTAAGTTTTAATTATGCAAAACAAAGAAGCAGTATATCCTCACATCTGAATAGCGGAAACCACCAAATGTTTGGAATTTTTGCTTAATGGAATCACTTAAATGAATAATCAATCAGAATTGTTAGTCATTTTCTATTGCCCCACTACTAAATTAATTGACTAATCGTTTCAGCACTACACAAATTACCATTTTGCTAAAGTGGCCTAGTAAAACTAGCCCTCCAAACAGCCAACTTTCTATTACACAAAAATGCAGACCAACAAATAAATTCATTGCTAAAGATTGACTTGATTTTTCTGTCATATTAATATTTCTCCAAGCTGTGTTCTGATTAAACTCTTTTGGGAAGACACAAAACACAAAACTCTTCTATTTATAGAGACCAATGTCTGATTTATATGTTTGCCACTTCAGCAAACAACAGAATCCATCTAGACACTCCTTTACAGTTTAGACTTAAGATGCTTTTTATATGATATTTGCACAGTGTGAAATATACTCTGATAAATAATAATATAATATAATATATATATATATATATATATATAATAATATTTTTGACTGCTCAAAAGAAAGACAATATTTATTATATGTGTGTGTATATATTTACACATTCTTGTAAAAAGATAGCAGACATAAGATTTATCAGGATGCAGTGACAAAGGAAAAGGGACACAGCTGACAAAAAACTATAAACAGTGTTTTAGAAAGAAACCTTCCTGTATGTAGCCTACTAGTACCATTCTAGCATTATTCTGAGGTGTAACATGTCTTACATCATTTCAAGAGGCACAATAAGGATCTTGTCAGACCCCTTTGTGTGTGCCTGATGTTAGGTTCTAGAGGTGGGCTGGCTCAACACTAATCCCTAGAGGGATGCTCAGCCAGCCTCAGGCGCATGCGGCTAATATTCCAGACGTAATCAAAGGCTTTCTTTAATGCTGATCTAGGCCTAATCCCCCCTCTCTGCCACTGTTGGGGCTCTTATCAGTGTTGTGATGTTGGGTTGAGCTGAGCCCCTCTAGGCAGCCCGGCTAAATCACATAGTGAACTGAGAAATCTAAAAGAAACAAAAAAACGAGGGCCAGCTTCAAGTCTCCAATATGTACAGATGGTAGTGGTGGGACACATAATTGATATGGAAATATATTTGTGATTGAGGTTGAGGGGTCTCCAAAGCCCAGGTATTAGTGTCAGTATCAAGACTGAAAAAGTTCAGCCATGTGTCAGTTTATGGCATTTTTACAGTTACATTCAAAGACATAAGCTGCACCGCGTTAGTGTTTTACAAACACTTAAAAACAAGTATTTAGATAATGTGCTTCGATAAACGGTTTCTCAGTTGTGTATAAAAAAATCACAACATATTTAATTCTTAAAGAGGTCATATTATGTGTTTCTTCTTTTCCCCTTTCCTTTATTGAGTTATATCTTTTTTGTGCATGTAATAGGTTTGCAAAGTGAAAAAGCCCAAAGTCCACCCTAAAAGGAGTTCCCATCTCCCACAGAAAACACTGCTCTGAACTGCCTGAAAACAGCTCGACCATAGTCCAGCCTTTTTTCCGCAACCTATCTGCGACACTTTGTAATGCGCTGGTGGAGAAACACACTGAGCTGCAGTGACAAGACATCCACCCGCTGCCTCCCATCACTCTTACCCTCCGTACCAAATGTTAGATACCCTCCAGGCAGTCAATGGACATAAAGTTGTGCACAGTAAAAATGTTGTAAATTTACAAATTAATAACTCACCACTCTGAAACGTCTTGCTCCAGTCAAATTTGCGAAGCTGGTTCGGGAACATCTACAGCTGAACCGAAGCCGTGGTTACCGGCTTGTCAGGACCTGCCCTACTTTGCTTCTGACTGGCTAGTAGCCTAGTCCTTAACAAGGTTCTGCGCATGTGCAACTCCCAACAAAGATCAAATAGTAGTGAAATTCTTCACTCCATAGCTAAAACGGAGCGTTCAACACACAGGGTGAAAAGAGGAGCTGCAGCAATGTGCAATATGACAAAAATTTGGTGTTTTTTGTAAATTAAACCATGTAAACCTGTTCTGGAATAATTCCTAAATACAATTATGAATTATGAATGAGCATCATGTGACCACTTTAAAATACATATGATCAATTTTTGACTTTTGAAAAATGATATAATTTCAGAGCCGCTTTTATCATCCTGAGTTATGTATAGAGATGCCATTGTCAACTTGAGCAATGTATTGAGATACTATGGTATCACAAGACAGCGTCTGATTCCCTGCCCTCTTAAACCATGGCAGGAGACTGAACATATGCTACTGCTGTAGTAGGTTGGAGTTTAGTTGTAATCAATATCACAATATTAGTACAAATGTTTTGTTCCCCAGATACCAACATGCATTTTGTGCATACCAAAAAAGCATGTTTCATTATGTCTGGACAATATGATTTGGAGGCTGGGGCATCTATGTAGCACCCCAGTGCTTCACTTATATAGTGGTATGCTGTGACACATTTTACCTTTATCAACAAATTGCAGCTCTTGTGATTTGGATATTGTACTTACACCACTCCGATTCTGATAATATTTCGATTAACTGTTCAGCCCTACTCAGCGTTATTCAAAGAAAAAAAACTACTGACTGCAAATTGTATGCCACATAAATAATATAAGCCTATTCATTGCATGGCCTGAGCAGTCCACATTTCTAGTGTACTTTTGAGAATCAGTGTCCATTAATGTCTCTGAGAAGACTTCCACACTCTGACCAGGCCACACAGTGCAGTGAAGGGAGAGTCTGCTGCCAGGGATTACAGAATGCAATGTGATAGGCCCTCACATTTACTGAGGGTCATGAAGGGCAGAGGCTGCCACAGTGCACCGGCCCACTCACACATGGCCCGGTCCACTTGTCGAGCTTGTTATTGGCTCAAGAAATAGCTGCTCACACGATGCACAATGTCTGATCGTTTTAGAAATCAAATTCCCCCAGCAAGCAGAAAAAAAAACCCAAGAAGAACGGGCCTTTGGGTTGATGGACAAACTGTGTCTGAGCAGAGTTCAGCTTTACACAAATACCGCTAAAAGCCAGAATTCTGTAACATCCTGAGAGCTTAAAAGCCTCTACAAACAGGAAAAACTGAGAAGGAAAAATAACTTAAATCAAGAGCTGTGCCAACATCCCAAGCAAATGTGCGAGAAACTCAAGTAGGCTAGAAGCCTGGTGTGACTGCCAGCTGAGCTGCCAACAACCTGGCCTGGTTCTGTAGCAGCTGTGTCACTGCAGGTACACATACTCACGCATACATGCTCTCTTCTAGTGACGGCCGTGACACGACACCTAATGGAACAACTAGCAGTCATACTGAAATTGGGACATCACAATATTCTCATTCAGCACTGCAGTTCAGAAAAAAAAACATCATCAGTTTGACTGTTTATCTTGTGATTTTTTTAAGCAAAACTCTAATACTGTACAATTGGTATGGAAGAAATTGGGCTGCAATTTGTGATTATTTTAATAACCAATTAATCTGTGAATTTCCCCCCAATTAATAAAGTAATTTTAGCTTATAAAATTACTGAAAATAGTGAAATCTTTTCCACAGGATCCCTGTGTCCACATCTTCAAATCAGATGTTTAGTCTGACCAACGATCCAAAACCTAAATATAATAAATTTACATGCAAAACAGAGAAAAGCAGTAAATACTCACATTTCAGAAGCTGGACCCAGTCTATGTTCTGCATTTTTGCTTGATTAATAGATTATCAAAATGGTTGTCAATTAGTCTGCATGATCGTTTTAACAGCGATGAACGCCTTCTTTTATACAGTCTATGGGTGAGGCTTTGACCAGCAGTACATCCAGCAGACTGGCTCCCTCTGGGTCGGGGCAGCATGGGGTCCAGAGCCAGACGAGCAGACACTACAGGCCAGAAGGGTCTTGGCTTGGACTTACTGGATGTCTGCATGCTGCATTTGTGTGAAGCCATCTCCTCACATATATAGTGTCCACAACAATGCCTACAGTATTTGGGGACAATGGCGATGAACTGGATTGTGCAGACATGATTGATAAGTAGGTCATGTCTTGTTGTCACCACGTGAGGCATGAACTCAAACAATCCTGCTCAACTGTACAGGCTTAGTTCAGAGCTGGATTTCTGGGTGTGCTTAACTGTCCTTTCACTATTTCGGGGCCACATTAGGTTGATACTAAGACCAGAGAGTGAGTTACGGTTTTTTCAATTTTTAAAAACATTTCCCCCCATTATTTAGGCTCCTATAAAGCTAAATATATTAACTTGTAAATTTGTAATACTACTTCAGGTCATTTTAGGAAAATATTTTTTTATTTTACAGTAAGATTCCAGCAGAGATTTTCACAGACCATGCTAGATAATATAATTAAATCAGGCCTATGATCTCAGAACATCTTAGCTCACTCGTCAGGGTCCCTCAAAGGAATTGAAACATAAGCTTCTGCCTTAAGCTGGTCCTTTGGGGGTGTGGCTGCAAGAATTCAAAAGTCAACGTCAAGGCAGAGCATAAAATTCTGAAAGTTACACGAGCTGTGTGCATGGAACAATACGATGCAAATGTGCAGGATACCATGCACAACAGACAAAGAACTGCAAACAGAAAAGACGGCTATGCTTTCAAGTCGTCTAGAGTCCTCTGCCATTTGGACTGGGTGCATAAACCATGAATGGCCGCAAGGAGCTTTAGTGTCATAGTGACAGGCCACAACAGGCTACTACGTGGGCTGGCTAATGCTGACAGGCTGACATGCGCTTGTGCCAAACACAAGAGTTTGTGACATAAACCAGCCCACCCTCCCAAACTGTGCTCACAGGCAGCTGATGAGATCCCCTCGGGGCTCAAGCGGGTTGAACAGCCGCTGAAGAGCACCTGCCCTCAGTGTGAGGAGGCGAGGAGGGGAGGGAGGCCGGGCCAGGGGCCCCAATTTCTCTCCAAAAATCGAGCCAACTAGGGGAATGTGCAAACTAAGGCAGGCTTGACGTACTGTGGTCCATGACCCCTTCTGCTAGTTGCCAGGAGGATTCAGAGTGCTTGCCTGTGGCCAAACCCTGTTACCCACTGGCTGCAGCACTCATCAATGCCCCGTTTGCCGGCAGGGTGCCAGCCTCACCACTCAAAGGGTTGTCAGCTATCTGACATGTGCGGGGGAAAGCAGACACTGTAAAAGGCAGGGTGGCACAATGCATCCATGGGTGGCATGATCCAAAAATAGAAAAACCAATTAAGGAGTTATGTGAAAAGCAATCTTGTACATGAAAACCAAATTGAAATAAAGTCACTACATTTACAGTAGCTTTTGTGGATGAGGCACGTTAACTGTTCTCTAACTTAAGCATTGCCTTGGCTGACGGGTAGGTGTTTGATGAGTGGGACAAATGGGTCTGTAATTTGTATTTAAATGTAGGCGTGCATCATGTACGTGTAGTCTGCTGTATGGTCTTGCCAGTTGGAAACAGAAAACTTTTCTGATGTCGATGTTTAACGTTAAGAACAATATTGTTAACATCATAATCGTTAGCACACGTACACCAAACTATAACGTTAACGCTAGCAGGGGTCTGCATAAGGTAGCTGCACTAACGTTAGCTGAGATAGGTAGTTTTAGACTGTAGGTGATTTCTCAATGTTTTCTTCTACGGCAAACTGAATGAAGAATAACACGGAAAACAAAAATGACAGAACACCAAACGTAACGTTAGCAAAGTCAAACAGAAACAGTTTTAAGAGATGGATACACATGACTGTGAACGGTTCTTGTTATCATGTTGCGGGACGCAGACCGTTCAAACTGTAGCAGCGCTCTTGCTAGCAAGCAGCAAGCCTTCAACGCATTTTCGATATGAATCTTAAGCAATATCCGTCGTGGGGAAAAGGGTATGGGCAGTACAATCAGTGACCAACAAATCGCATTCCTTTTAACATGGCAAACATTTAATTTAGTCGCCACCAAACCCGCGCTACTACTGGCAAAGCGGCCAGTGCTAACCAGCCGAGCTAGCTCGCTAGCACGCCCGAGACAAAAGCCTGAATGAAGTTCCTATGGGTGCAAACACCATCCAGGTAACGTTACTGTTACCGCTGCTCTGCCAGAAGTGCAAACGCCGGGATTCAAACACACGCATCGTTTCAAAAAACCCTGACAACGAGGGCCTCGGCAAGAAAACGAGACATATGAGCTTACCCCTCCTGTTCCAGCTTTTCTTTCTTCAGTGCTCTGTTTGAATGGTGTGTTGTTGTAGGAGGGCGTCCTGTTCCGGGGTCACATCCCTCCACTCGGCAAAGCTACGGCGGACTGACTGAACGCAGCGAGAGCACCACTGGCTGTTCAGTACCGCTACCGGCCACAGGGGCCGCTGCCTGGCCCTGTGGACACGGTATCTAGGGTCTATCACAAAACTGATAGATCCTGTAAACACACATCTCAGAAAATACAAAAACCTTGCTGATACGAATTTTACTTTCTGTATTGAACCGATTTACTTGTTTGATGCCCAATGAGGAAATATTACTCATAGGAACCTACTTGTATGCTTTTTAAAAAGTTATATGAATGTAACGCTATACCATACACTGATGCTATTTCTTATACTCATATTAGGAAAATGATCAAAACATATAATCTGTGTTGTAAATATATATGGTATATCTCCACCTTAGGATACAGTATGTTTACATGGATTCACCACATCCTGTGTATTGATGATATGGTTCTGTGTTCAATAAAGTGTGGACCCACTAGAGAGACTTCATCACATTGGCCAAAACCACCATGCATAATCAGAAATTAATTTAATTGCTACAGCTCCAAATTAAAGTAACATTGAGTGCTTTCATTAAAAATGAAAGGGACCCAGATTTTACTTTTGTGCATAGATCGATTCATAAACTTAACAGTTGTTTCTGTGTTCGGTTGTATAGAGACTGCACATCAGGCTGATGTTCTCTTAAAACTATATTATGTGTGAACTCCCATGGACCTGTCCAGGAGGCAACTGCTCTAAAACACTGGTGGCTAATAAAGAAAAACTGGAAACAAAGGGTGACTTGGGTGACTTTGGTGACTCTGGCTTTTATCCACGATCAGCCTCTTTTAAGATGAAAAAAAAAAAATAGGTAGAAAATTAAGCTAACATGAGCTTGGTTCCCAGGAAGCCTCAGTGCGCTCTGTGAAGCAAACTGTTTATTAAGTGTATGTTTCCCTCCCAACAGCAAATGAAGCAAATGTAAAAACAAGATGCAGATACAGGACAGGTCTATGTCAGACCTTTGTTGACAGGATGATTTATCTATTTTAGCTGCACACATGAAAATAAGGCCTGAGCCTTAAAAGGATTGTACCATTAGACATAATTCATGAATTTACAATCAATTCAGAAGGCAGCAGTACATTTTACAATTTGCAAAAGTAGCACATAAACTCAATACTGTCACCTCTCTTTGGCTTAAAGCAGCAGTGTTTAGCTGAGCCCATATGAGGGACATTGACGACATGTATTTAAAGTCTGTTCCACAGTAAATATTTCAGTAGCTTTTAAATCTTCTTGCTGTGTAATCTACAGCTACACTGGATCTTCTGTAAAACTAAGACTCATACAAACGGTACATATAATTTAAACTGCTATGCAAAATGAAAAGGCTAAAGCACAACGTCATCCTTGCAGGACTGACCGCAAGATACAGTATACAGCATCTAGAGTAACCTGAATGCACCATAAAGTTAAATCATACGGGCTCCCTTAAACAGACAAACACCATTTTGTACAGCCTTAGATGTGTCATAGAGGTGTTTGACACTGCAAGTATGGAATCTCTTTCATGGCACCTGGCACATTAGTTAGAAATCACAGTGCATAACTTAAATATCACAAAATAACACAGGCGCGCGCACACACGCGTGCGCACACACGCACACACACACACACAGGTACTGCATCATCTGAGATGGTACACAAATGGCAAACATGTACAGTACCACGTTTTGAGAAACACAACCACAAGCCTATGGCTTATATGAGTCCACAAATTCGTCGTAATGCCTCATGTATTCAATATTTTGTCACATCCTTTGACCAAGTATCTATATAATATCTTTAACATTTTAGGAAGTACTCCTATTCACTTTTGTGCTGAGGGTTAGACAAGAAAAGTGATACCACTCTTATATCTGTCCATTAAATGTGAAGCTACAACCAGGAGACAATTAGCTTAGCTTAAAGACTGGAAAAAGGAAGGGGTGTCTGCTAATAGTTTGACAGAAAACTGCAACTTATATAAACGTCAGTGTTGGGGCATATTTTCACCTTTATTGGACAAAGTAAAAGTGAAGAGTCAGGCATGAAACGGAGGAAGAGAGAGGGGCATGACATGCAACATGTGCTGAAGGCTGCTGGCTCCAGCTCCACATTAAACAGACAGACTTGAGATTGGTGTCAACCTTTTCATCTAAATTTCAGCACAAAAGCAAGTAACCGTATTTACCGAAATTTCAAACTATTCCTTTAATGCGTAGTAGCGGTTTGGGGATACAGGGATGTTATCAAAATAAAGTTCCCATTTAAAATAATTTTCTCATCTTACATTAAACTGTAAATGTTACAATGCTTCCTGTCTACTGGCACTCCAAAGGCATCATACTGTACTTCAAGGCAGTATTACACATCCATAAGTGATATCGCAGTAAAACACAACATCTTTTTAAAATATATAAGTTTAAAAAGTACTTCAGAGTTATCAGATTAAATAAAATACAATAAAATAAAAAAAAACAAAAAAAACACAATTGCAAAGAGGAAGTTGAAATGAGAGGAAATGACACAGCCAATCAAGGATTGTAAACCGTACAAACGACTTGAGGTGAAACTGCCGCCCTGTTATTGTACTCCGTCACTGAATGGCGTCGTCTAAGTCATTGTTTGCTGTTTTCTCTCTGCTGAGTAATGCAGTCGGTGAAATTAACTTAAAATCTCTGCTGTTTATAATTTTTGTTGACATGTCCTCAAGGCAAAGGCATTCCATTGTTTCACGGGAGAAAGACGAGTGTGATGGATCCTTCCTTCATTGTGAAAATATCTGTGTTGAAATTATGCTCCATGATTCTATCATTGTCTTTGGATGCCTCCACTTAGTAGTTATTTACCACAGACAGGCCCGTCAGATGTAAACATTTGCTGAGTGTCTTTGAATGCCATTAATAAAGTAAAATATTTATTTATATCTCCATAAGTTAAAATCCATCGTTTTTCGTCATCGTCTGGTCACCTTGGTGCAGTGTTTTTCACGGTCTATTATCTTTGGCCAAGGAGTGCATCATCCAGTTGACCTTCGTCTTCCAGCTCTCCCGCAGAGCTTCGTTGAACTTCACTTTGAAATTCTTCAGTGCCTCTTCCTCTGATTTACCCAAAGCTAAAGAGTCCTTTTGAAAACAAGAACCAAAAACATTGTCAAAATTATCATCATCCTCATCATCAGCAGCAGCAGCAGTGCATCAGCATTAACATCATCATTGTAGAGCTGCAACAATTAATCAAATAATCGTGGTCAACTATTTAATCAATCGCCAACTATTTTGATAATGGATTAATTGGTTTTAATTGGCTTTTGTTTTTTAAAGAAAAATGTTCTGATTCCAGCTTCTTAAATGTAAATATTTTCTGCTTTCATTACTCCCCGATTACAGTAAACTGAATATCCTTATTGCCTTATTAACAAAACAAGTCATTTGAGGACGTCTTCTTGGGCTTTGGGAAACAGTGATTGACATTTTTGACAACTGTCTGACACTTTGAACACTTTATAGACTACACAACTAATCGATTAATTAAGAAAATAATCAACAGATTAATTGACAACGAAAATAATCGTTAGTTGCAGCCCTACATCATCGTTGCATACCTTTAGATACTGGATGTCTTTGAAGGAGCTGAGCTCTGGCAGTCCTGCTGCCTTCATCATAGCAAAGAGGTTGACAAACAGCATCCCGTTACGACACAGGATCTTATAGGCCCGCTCACAGTACTCCCTGAACCTGACAACATGGATGCAATAATCAATTATCGGTTATAAAAATATGTAACAGATGTATATAACAGAATCCCAGATCAGAAAACAGAATGAAACAAAAAGCTTGTACCTCTCAAACTTCTCACTGTTGTTTGTCCGTCCTTGCTGGATCACATGGACAAAGTCATAGGTCAGGATAAAAGGCACACGCTCCCTGTTGATGCCTAGTTTCCTCTTGAAGTTGCCCAGGAAATGCCCAAAGTCAATGTGAAAAAGCTGAGGAGCAAAGGTGAAAATTACTCTTAAAACATACATTCACTGGCAAGTGACCTGAAGGACTTCAGCCCATCTTGTCAAAGACAAAAAACTCATTGAATTATTACAGTTTTTCACTAACTGGGAACTTGCATAACTTGACATACCAATCAGTATTGCATTTCAAAGGGACACATAATTAGTTTTTTGAACATTCAGCAGTGAAAACTACTTTATCATTGATGTTGGCAACTGTGGTAAGTGTTCTACTACATACATCATTATGAAGCAAAGCAACAGTGAAGTCAGGTTGATCACTGGGTTAAACGTACCACCCATTTCCCACTTTATGTCTAATCGCCCCCTTGTGGTATATTTCAGTGTTGTACTAATTTCCTGTGATAGAAAAACATCCCAGTCGAAAACCCCACCTGTCCAGTTTCCCTGATCATGATGTTGTCGTTGTGACGATCTCCAATGCCCAAGACGTAAGTAGCTACACAGTAGCCAGCACAGGACAGTGTGAACTCTTCTATTGCTTGATCAAGTTTGTCCCTGGTGCCAAAAAAAGATAAGAGAAACAAGGAAGCATGAGTGGGTTTTGTTCCTACAGTACATTTACACTTCTCTTTTAACTCGCATAACTACTACTACACACACACAGAATGTCTTTACTGCTATATGAAATAGTCACACACTTCCTGTGGACGATTAATGATCAACCGTCACGTCCTTTCACGGTCTACACACGCACAGGGTACATCGTGTCAAGCTTTTGCTAATTTTCTCCACTCCGTTTTGGGTGCTGCAGCATTTCAAGCTAATTACCTTTCTGTTCTGTTGTGCAGTCAGCTGGACTTGTCTTGCCAAAGTGATGTACAAAGGCTTGTTCATTACATTGAATGGTTCTCCCTCTTCCCTCCCTCTTCAAGGAGCTTTTAGAATAGACAAGACCTTCAGACTGTCTGGCACCAAATAAAAATCTACTTTCATTTAACATTGCTGAAGCTCTAACAATGCCGCACACGACAAATACTTTGAAGTAAACAATTCAAAACACACACAGATAGATCCAGAGAGA